GGTTTGCAAGGATCAGTTCCTATTCCGTCAGAGGCGTTCGAGCTATTGCTCGGCTGTTGTACAATCTTTCAATCTAGTAGAAGTAGAGTGCAAGAGTGCAACTCGTGGGTGCATTAAAGGGGGAAGTGCATTGGGCTAGCAAATTTTTTCGATCGGACGACTAGGCGTGAAGAACGGACTCGACCTTGTTGATCAAAGGCTTGATCAACGACTCGCCGCTCGCCTTTGGAATTGCATCGGCAGTCATTGGGGAAGTAGGGACAGCAGTCGAGATCTTGGGTTCAGGCGAAGCTTCGCGGCGGACACTGCCCGTCCGTGCCAAAATCGTCCTCGTCAGCTCTCCTGCTCGATGCGCAACGATGGAAAGGAGCGAGTCTGATAGACCGTGCGTGGCTTCATTGCCACCCAGCACAAAGACGCCCGGTTGAAAGGCGCCTGCAATCCCTTCACGACTGGTAGCGTCGACGCTGAGCGTGCGAGAAGAGCTGCTGCTGGTGGGGCTAGAGGTGCCGCTTCGGTGGTTGGGGCTGAACGCTTGCGACGCGTATGGAACGAGATGGTAGTCCCTTGCGATCCCACGCACTCTCTCTCTCAAACGCTCCTCTGCTCTTTCGCCAGCGGCTTCGTTCGCTGCACGTCTCGCCTCGAGCGTCTCTACCTCTTGCGGGTAGCCCAACTCTGCGCGGCGCTTGTCAGCTTCGGGATCCAAGGCTGGGAAGTGGGGTGCCAAGGGTTGGAGGAATTTCATGCATGCTGGTGCCCTCTCGAAACCAGTGCCTAGCACAACGAGGTCGAAACGCTCCGTTTTGCTCTCCGACTCGGCGTTTGGCTTGGTGTCAGAGGTCGTGAGTTCGATCTGCTGGTCATCGCCTTCCCCAACCAGACGCGAGATGTCCACCTGTGTGTTGGGAAGGAGGTTGAGTCTTCCTTTGCTGGGACCGTCTGCACCGGGCCACGGTGCATCGAACTCAATCTGCTGGTCGTACACAATTTCGTCGATGGCATTGAGCACATCGCTGCGAACGACCGAGTAATTTGTCCGCTTGTACTCGCGAAGCCACTCTGCTCGTTCCTCGGATCCGGCGCGCCAGAAGGTGTCTGTCCGGTGCGGATCAAAGGCTGCCGAATTGACGAGCGCCGAGTCATCTGATGGAACGATGGCCGATGCTCTAAAGATGATGTTGACGTCCGCTTCGGGGTAGGTGCGGTGCAAGTGCAAAGCAGACTCCGCAGCCGATTGACCGCTTCCAATGACTGCGATCCTCAGTGAGCGAGATTTGGATTGAGTGCGGAGCAGGGGGGCGATGGCTGCAAGAGATGGTAGAAAGGTGGAAGTGTGGATCACCCTCGACTTGGCAGTCCACGGTTGAGCTGGGTACACGTTGGCAAGGGGTGCAGGGACACGACCGATGCCGCCCACGCCGACGGTAATGTTACGAGCCAGACGGATCCTGACATGACCATCCGAGCGCCTCTTGGTGGTGACACGAAGCAGCTTGACACCTTCCGAAACAGCCAAGTTGGTGTCCGTGACGGGCTCGATGGATTCGACATCTTCAGCATAGCTGACGTACTCATCCATGCGCTTTGCGGCCCAAGTAAGGTAGGCGCTCCATTCGCGACGAGACGGGATGGTAGCTTCGCGATTGATGAAGGCGGCCAATCGACCCATGGAGTGAAGGTAGCTGACGAAAGAGTAGGACGATGTAGGATCTCTCATGGTAGCGAGATCCTTGAAGGGCGAGACTTGGAGCTGGCTTCCCGGCAGCAAGAGGGTCGAGTGCCAAGCAAAGTGAGGTTGGCGCTCCACAAAGTGAAAGCGCAAGCCCCTCTCGGCAGCCTCGGCATTTTCGCGCAGGGAGATTGCGAGAGCAAGATTGGCAGGGCCGAA